CAAGCCCCTAACTTTTCCTGATGGAAATAAAGAATGGTTTAGCTCCATCCACAAGGAAGCCAAACACTGAACTACAATGGAACAAATGAGCACAAATAACACGAATATTTGTTTAGTTATTGCAACATATACCTCTTTACCTTGTTACTCCTCTTCAGCTCCTTCAGGAATCTTTTTCCACTCCCCTGTGCCTGCTTCAGACACATTAGATGACCCCAAACTTCCCGGTACATATCCATACTACTACTCTTTCCAACTTGTGTGTTAATTATCTTATCGGGTGTCTGTTTCCAACACAGGCCTGTCAGCTACCACAATAGAGAAATATACAGGATCTAGGGGCTCTATGGGAACACAGCTGGGAGAATAGCTTAGTTTGCTCAAAGAGTTTTTAAAAGCTATAGAAAAGAAGTGGAACCAGACATATGAGTAGTGGTTTGTTATGGGAAGGCAAGAATGAAGGGCATTCCCAGTAGATTAAAGGCATGGTGTTTGTCAGTCCATTAACTAATGTTTATGAGATCCATGTGCCAGGCACATTGCCAAGTGCTAAGAGTAGACAGTAGGTTGATTTGGCTGGAATGTGGAGCATGTGATGCAGGAGGTAATTGAGGTGAGGATGGGGAGGTGAGTTATACCATGGGTAAAGAATCTTCTGGAACTTGCTGAAGAGCCTACTTTTTATCCTGGAAGCCAAGAGAGGCCTCTGAAGGGTTTCAGCAAGTAAGTGTTGGAGTCATATTTGGTTCTAAATGAGGAAGATCTCTATGAATAAATATGGAATGATTCATAGGATATGTGGGTAAGTTAAAAAGGTGTGTGAAAGACAATCCATAATGTGCTACCTTTTGTATAAAAAGACAGGGACAAAAAATATCCATGTTTCTGTTCACTGGTACAAAAATAAACACAGAAGGGATAAACTAGAAACTATAAGGAATGAGTAGGAACAAGATAGAGAGGAGGAGGATGGGAACAGAGTAAAGGGAATGGGGGAAAGAAATGCTCCTCTGAGTATTCCTTTTTATAAAGTTCTAACTTTTAGAACCATACTGAAAAAGAATCAATGGGAATGAAGAAAACACCCTAAAGCGAAATGCAAACAGAAACGAATAGGAGTGGGAAAGAACTAAGCTAAGTAACTTTTGAAAATAGTATTTTGAGGATATGCTGTTGGCTGAAGACAAAAGAATTGTAAACAAATATTCAACTCTATTTTGGTTGTCATCAGGATGTAGCGAGTAGTTCTGAAACAACTTTCTGTGTATTTTAGGATTGAGTAAATAAGTATATTGTAGATGATGGAAACAAAGTTTTTGGAGAAAGGAGCTTAAAAATATGGAACAAAGGGAAGGCTATAATTGATGCAGTAGTGTTAGAATGTATTTGGAGGTATGAGTACGAATCTAGGGTTTTTAACACAGATAGATCGATTAGATAGATAGATAGATAGATAGATAGATAGCCAGCCAGACAGACAGAAGATAGATAGATAGCCAGCCAGCCAGCCAGCCAGCCAGCCAGAGATGAGATATGTGTATACATGCATATATTTCCCAGCTCTCTGTCCCTGTCAGAGGCTAGAAGCAATGACACCCAAGTAGCAATGAGCACAACTGATGCTCAAACCCTGGTTTAAATTACTATTTTCCACTCCAGGAGAGAAGGAATCAGGGATTTGGGGAAATAAAGAACTGATTTCAGGACTAGGACTGAAACAATTAGCTGTACCAGAAAATAAAGATATGCCCAAACAATGATGGGGCTGTGCCTATAGAACAAGGAGCCGCTTTGAATGAGATTTCACTGACCAAATTTGGGACAATTCGAGAATCAAAACAAATAATAATAGTAATGGATTATAATACATTGAAAAAAATAAGACTCCATTAATATAAATAAATATATATTATATCTAAATACAATATACATTTGTACTTATATAAAATTGTTAATATTTATATATTTATGCTATATGTAGTGTAGCATATAGTACATGTATACATAGTACATGTATAGATACTATATACATGTAAAGGATATAATATATAAAGAACTAAAGAAACAAAGGAAATATAAAGAAATAAAGGAAAAAAGAAGGCTTTTCCTTACAGTAGAATCCCAACTAATAAATGTGGAAGGAATGATAGAATTAAAAATTCACCATTATAATAATAATTAATGCTGGAAAGGATCATCAGAGGATGCTAAAACTAGTAGATGACAATTTGATGAGTAATTACAAAATTACAACAACCTGGGGCAGGATAAGATCAAGTTCAGAAATCTAGGGCACAACACAAAGACTTTGTACCCAGTTGCTGTCAGGTAGATGTTCAAATCACATTGCTGTGTTGTATTTGCAATAGGATGATAACAATAATTATTTACTGAGTGCCTACTGTGTGGTAGGCATTGTGCTGGGGAGGGTGGGGTGGGCTTTTTTTGTATATATTAATTAACGTAATCCTAACACTAACTCAGTGAGATTTTTATCAGCATTCCCATTTTTAAGGTGAAAAATCAAGGTTCAAATGAAAACTTTGTCTAAAGTGAAACAGCTAATAAGAGGCAGAACCAGGATTCAGATCCCCTGCCTTCTGATTTCGAGTTCCGTGGTGTTCTGTCATTCAGTGTCTCTCTGGGTCCCCTTCTACCCAAAAGCATTGAGAAGTCCTTCTTTCTCCTCACCGTATCCACTGAAAACTTTGCCTTATTTTCCTCATCTAAAAACAGGGAAGATAATGCTTACTTTACATGGTTGTCATGAGGACTAAATTAGATAATATATATAAAGCACATGGCACAGTGTAAAGTAAGTGTCCAGAAGTAGTGGTGATACCAGTCGTAATGTCGACTTCCCTGGTATTGTGGAAAATTGTTTTTAAAGTTCACCTCCTCACTTTCTGACTGAATTAACAATCAGAGGCCAGATCATAAAGAGCTTTGTGTATTGTGAAAAGAAGATTCTATCTTATCCTATAGGCAAAATAAACCACTGAAGAATTTTATTACCAAGAGAGATACGATCTCGTTGGCAATTTAGGGTGGGCCAAGGGGAGGAGAGCAAAACTCCAGGCAAGGAGACCAGCAGGAGGCTGTTGTCAGAGACCAGGACAGAGAAGATGAGAGTCTGAGTTAATGAACCAGCTGGTGTGATGGCCAGGAGAGAACACACAGCGAACAGTTGCCCTCTGGGACTGGTGCCTGGGTTGGCAGGAGAGCAAGGGAGAAGTGCTCAGCCTGAGCCTCAGGCCTCTGGTCTGAACACTGGCTTCTCTCAGGGGACACCTAGAATGCAGAGGAGAGACCAGTTGGGGGCATGCGAAGGTGCTGATTTGGGGGGTTTTGGACATACAGGGGAGTCACAGGGACAGTGGCATATTCAGATCTGGATTGAAGCAAGAGCTCGGGGCTGGAGCAGCATGCCTGGGAGTTAGGGAAGCTACGGAGGTTAGAGCCCTCGGGAAAGGGATGTAGAGTGAAGAGAGGGCTCGGGATGGGATTCTAGAAATACCAGTATTTAACAACGGCAAAAGAAGAGATGGAAGGAGACTGAGGAGGAACACTCAGAAAGGTAAAAGAATCCCAGGGGCATTGTTTTCTGCTATGGCAAAGGCTTCAGACATAGCAAATGAAGTAAGGAAGGCCAACAAGGTGCCTTTTGGGTTTGACAACTAGGTCACTGAGAACCTTGGCAAGAGCATGTGCTGAGGGGCAGAATTCAGCTGGCCAGTAGATTCAGAAGAGAATTGTACTTTTAAAGGAGAGAAACTAGAACTTGGATGCTCCCAGGGATGCTCTCACTCCCTTGCCATGCATTCCCACTTACTGTTGGAGAGCTCTGCTTGGTAAAGGTCTTTCTTATAGAGCCTAAATCTCCCTGCAGCATCTTCCCACAGCTCTAGTTCAGCCTTCCACACCAACGAAGTCTATACACTCCTCCAAGGAACTGTCCAAATCTGCCTCCTCACCAGATCATCTCATCCAGCCCCTCCACCATTTCTCATATGCTCTAGGCTCCCAGACTTGCCCTGAAATCTGACTCTCCACCATGGATCCTGTTTTGTTGAAACACTGGTCTTTATTTCTCCTCCCACTAAGTTGATTGCTTTCCTACACTTCTTTAACCTCAACGCAGAATAAGAAATACATTTTACATTATGATCAATACACACATGTATATATAACTGACAGGAGATGCACTCTTATTTTCAACCCCACTTCATTCCATTCCATCATATACTATTCTATTTCATGTGTTTTAAGTGCTGGTCTTGGTCCACCACATTAATTTTACAACTCACTAAACTGATTTAATGACTGACAGTATGAATGATGGAGCCACAGTGGTAGGAGGGGCTCAAAGGAAAAGATGCTAAGCATTTGTCCAAATCCATCCCTCTTTTCTCCCTCAGGATCCTCCACACTGGGACCCATAGGTCTGCCCTCTAATTGCTTTTTTATGATTCTGAGAGGAAAGAGAACTACTTTGGTCCTAGGATGTTAGCCAGCTTGAGGGGGTGGGGCTATTTGAATTTCCAGAGTGACTCCTCAGAGGAAAGTCAGCAGCTCTAATGGTAGAATTTAGAAACCAGTAGAGGAGAGAATGGCTCATCTTTCAAATCACCCCAGTAGGCTACTGCCCTTGTATTTACCGAAGCATCCAATAGCCCGAGGCATTTTGCTGCCTTGAGGATGCCCTTGGGTGGCCCTACTACCACCTCTTGTGGAAGACATTTAAAATTTCCCAGAGTTTAGGAGTATGGCCACCTAGTCATACAGGTCACCCATCCCCACCCATCAACACCTGCCTGGAATTGTGCTTGTCTGGTCTCTATGTCTCCTTCAGACTTCCCCGAGGAAACGTCCCTCCTTTGAGATTCATTGCCTCCTATAAATCTTTCACCAAAGAAAATTTGAAGATTTTTTTTTTTTTAAATAAGAAGAGATGACTTATATGTTCTAACGCTCTCATTCGCAATGTCTTTTCTTCTCAGGAAGAGCGAGGATTTCTGAATTTACCTTAACTACACATAGAATGACGTTGCCTGAGGAAGAGCAGAGGTCTTCTCTGATCTGCTGAAGGGTTCCTGCTGCTGCCATAGACACCTGGGTCCTCGAGAAGTCTCCTAAGAGGCTTGTCCATCGCATACCTGCAATGAGCCAGGCCCTGTTCTTGGCCACAGCTTCGCCCTGGTGAACAAACCTCCTCTCCTGGCCTCAAGCTCACAAACCCAGCTTAAAGATGAGTGAAGAACGCTGGGTCTCCCTCACTCCAGAAGAATTTGACCAACTCCAGAAATTATCAGAGTGTGAGTAAATGGACTGACCCACCTGGGGTGGGCTTTCCTTTTGGTCGGGGAAAGCATGTCTGGAGAGCAAAGAAGTATAATCACTGCAAAGCCCCAGAAAATGAAGTCAGGTGTAACAAGATCACATTTCCTCATAAACACAGAATTTGTGTATTAAACATAAAAACACAAATATCTTTACACTCTGTAAATGATACATGCTCAGCATTGAAATTTGGAATATACGGGAAAAAATAAAGATTAGGTTAAAAATCACAGCTGAACTCTATGAACATTTTAGAAACTTTTCTCGTGTGCATATTGCTTTACATGGCTGAGTTCTGAATACACCTTTTTTTCCCCTAAGCCTACATTTCCCACCTAACATAGTATCATACGTATTTTCTCGGGTCATTAAAACCTCTTTATAGCATAATTTTTGAAGGGCTGCAGGCCACATGGTTACAATGTTACTCAGTCATTTGCTCTAATATACTCTTGTGTTTGGACTAAATGCCTTTCTTCAGTAGGATTCTGATGCATGTCTGTTTCTTGACTTTGTTCTGGAAATGCCTGAGCTTTCAAGCGGGGCTCTTGGTTTCATTAGTTGTACTCAGGAACAATTTCAGATCATCAAGACATAGTGGTGGCAATACCTACATTTAATGTGAGCACACAGCTGTGCCCCACAGGCCACTTCTAATATCAACTGGTGACAGAAATTTCCCCGAGCTGTGGTAGAACAACTGACCGCTACACTCTGCACAACATAGTGACTGGCATGATTATGCAGTGGCACTGACTTTTTAAAGAGCCCTTTGTTTTACAGAGCTCTCACCTGCACTGCTGGTCCCACCCCATTATTCTAAAGGCCTCTCACTTCACATTAACTGTACTGATGTTTTTGTAAATCACTAGACCTGTAGCATGTCGACCTGCCCTACAAAGCTTGTGCAGGTCGTCCTACAAATGCCCTTTTGGCAGCCTTTCCTCTTCCCATAAGGCAGGCAGCCCATGTCCACAGCACTGGTCTGGGAGACAGGAGATCAAACTCAGTGCCAGCTCTGGCTCTTGTTATCTGTGATTTGACAGATTTTAAGCCCCGGGAGCCTCAGCATCCTCTTCTGCAAAATGAGAGGGTTGTACTAGATGATCTCTCCCTGTAGTTCTCAGCCCCAGACCTAATACCCCATGACATTGTATGCGCCCCAAGGTCAATGGGAGCCTTTGAAGGCTAGTGGTCAGTCTCTGTCCTCATACCCTGGAGCTGGTGGCCTCTTGTCTGACCTCAGTGGGTTTAGAGAAACTCTATAATGTATGGACAAGGAGCAAGGAATTGCCCTCCAGGGTAAATTCCATTTAATTCAACCTGTTCTGTAGGTCAGCAAAGTATCAGGCCCTGTCAGGGATAAAAGAAAAAAAAAAAAGAAGCGCAAAGAAAAGACTTACCCTTGACAAACCAGAATCTCGTTAGGGAGTCAGAAACGTGCTTGTGAGACCAGCAGAGAATGGTTTAAGGCAGCGGGCAAAACTGAGCTGGCTAAACCGAGTGCATAAAGGAGAAAGTAATTTAAAGCTGGGGGAAACTGATATGGGAAGGTGTATTAGTCTGCTAGGCTTCTATGACAAAGTACCACAATCAGGGTGGCTTAGAACAACAGAAAGTTTCTCAGAGTCCTGGAAGCTAAGAGCCCAAAATCAAGGTGACAGCAGGGTTAGTTCCTTCTGAAGCCTATGAGAGAGGATCTTCTCCAGGCCTGTCCCCTGGGCTGTCTCTTCACATGGCGTTTTCCCTTTGTATGTGTCTCAGTGTCCAAATTTCTCATTTTATGTGGACACAGTCAAATTGGATTGGACCCACCCTATACCAGCATGACCTCATCTTAACTAATTACATCTGCAACAACGCTTGTTTCCAAATAAGGTCACATTCTGAGGTGCTGGGGGTTAGGACTCGAACATATAAATTTGTGGGGGGTGGGGGATGCAACTTAACCCTTAACTGAAGATTAAGCTAAGTGAACTCTATGAAGGAAAGAAGTCTTAAATGTGACTAGTAGATGAGGGGGGAGGGATAAAAATGATGGAAGCAAAGGTAGAGGGGCCCAGGGGGAGGGGGTATGTGTGGGGTAGTAAGGAGAACTTCGGGGCTAGATGGAGAGGAGCAAGAGCGTGGAGAGGAGGACAGGAGGGATGGTGATAGCAAGAGGTCTTGGGCCCTGCATGTCAAGGCGGGGCCTTTGGACTGAGGTGGCAAATTTTAGAGCCACGAATCCAGTAGCTGTGTGCAGGGTGGCCTGGATGAGGTATCTGTCAGGTCAGGAAGATCGGGCAGAATTTTTTGGATGAAATCTAGTCTGAACTGAGGAACAGAGCTAAGATGGTGAATGTGACGATGAACAAGTGCTAATTTGTGGGAAATTGCAGTGGAAGTATCATCAAAACTTATGGAACAAAAGAAAGCCAGCAAAGATCCCTCAGAGCCTGGGAACCTGTGGAAAATGGTAACATTAGGATGTAGGGCTGATGAGGACAGTCTGGGAATGTTGATTTTGAGATGGTGATGACACATCCACTTAGACATTCATATGTGCCAGGCTCCAAGGAACCATCAATGACTGAGAGACACAGCCCAGTGGAGAAAGACAGACAAGACTCAACATTATTCAGTATGACAGGTGCTAAGGAGTGGGGAGCATGGAGGAGGAGACCTAGCCCAGGTGTGGGAAGAGGCTTCCTCAGGCAGGTGCTATTTCCAGACTATAGAAACACTAGTAGGAGGAAAGAGCGGGGAGGACATTCCAGATAGAGAACATGGCTTGGGCAAGACAGGGAGGTGAGAAAGTCATCAAGGTAGCTTCCAAGAACTGCAAATAGTTCCCAGACTGGGAGCCTAGAGCTCAAGTGGTGGGCGGTGTGAGGGGAGTCAAGGGAAGAAGTGGAAAGGTAGTAGGACACCACCCTAGAGGGTGCTGCTTTCTGAGTGAGACATCCTGTGGGCTCCAGGAGGGTAGGTAATGGAGTGTGGGTGGGAATGAGTGGTTAGGCTACAGCTTTGATTTGGAAACAGCAGGAAAGGAAAAAAGTGGGAATGAAGGCACTTCAGAGAGCAAGAATGTGAGGAGAGAAGTGAGAGGATGGAGAACGAGACTTAGTGCATGCCTACAACTGGGGGTCAGAAAAGGAAAAGGAGTCAACTAGGAAACAAAGAGTACTGGGCCAAGGTAGCTAAGAGAGAGAGGAGTCCAAAAGTGGCAAAGCTGTCCAAAGGGCAGGGGACGAGAGTATATTCCTACCAGAGTATGTGGTAGGAAGTGGCCTCCATTGTGGTTTGGGTCTTTATTTCAACCATCAGCTTTGTCCTCTGACCCTTCCTCATTTTGTCCATGTGCTAGAACTAGATGAGGTGCTCTGGCATCATTGTTCTAACAGGACACGGGAAAAAAGATACAGTTCTTGGAAAATGATTAATCCTCAGAAGAAACCCTGAAAAAGGCACTTGTACCAATTTTAGACACATTCTGGTATTCATTCAAATTGCATTGCCATAGCAACAGCTCTTCCATAACCACATATATAGGAGCTTTCCAGTAGCAGAATAACTGAAGTGTACAGCCTGAGAATTGATAACTTTCCCCAGAGGGGTTACCTGGTAGGAGAGGCCAAGAATTTCAAGACAAAGATCTCTAGGTGTGTTCTGTTTATATAGCATAAGCTCTATATCTTCTCTGGTGGCCTTCTGTTGTGGGAGAAGCCATGTTAAAAGTGCCCTTAGAGACATATATATTTATTTTATATGTATACATACATACATATACACATATCCGTGTATAATATATATATAGTTGACAGTAAGCTTAATGCGAATTAGTAGTATAAAATACTTGTCAAAAAAGATGTGAAATTAAGAAATTTTCATTACAAAATAACAAGTATACAATTTTTGAAAAACTGAAGATGAAATTTAAAGCTACCCATAATCCTATCTCCCAGCGATAACCGCTGCTAGGGAATTTGTGTATAATACAAATGTTTATATATATAATATATATAATATATATATTACATATATATACTAGGTGATTTGTATGCTGTTTTCTTTACTCTAATGATATGCTTGTTATCTATTGTTGCATCAAAACAACTTCAAAACTTGGTGGACTAAAGCAACTATTTTGTTTTATGCCATGAATCCGTGGCTCAGCAATCTGGACAGGGCACAGCAGGTATGAACAGTCCCTGTTTTACAATGTTGGGGGTTTCAGGTGGAGTACCTCACATAATCCAGCATGATTTATTCACTCACATGCTGGTACATCAATGGTCCTCCATGGGGCCTCTTTCTGCGAGCATTTTCTCATCTCCCAGGACCTTTCCGCATTGGCCTCTCTTTCCAGCAGAGTAGCCTGGACTTTTTACATGTGGCTCGGGTCTCCAAGAGCATAAAAGTAGCAGTTGCCAGGCTTTTTTAACACCTGGGCTCAGAGGTTCAAGAACAGAACTTTCTCCACATCCCATTGGCCAAAGTGGTCACAGGACTGGCCCAGATTCAGCGGGGTGGAGGAACGGACTTCCCCTCTCATGGGGGAGTGACTCACACAAGAAGGGCAGATTGATGACAGCCATCTTTGGAGGCTAAGCTATCACGTCGTATACCATGTGTTCCGTATCATTCAGTACTTTTCAGAAGCATGGTTTTTTGTGGTTGCAGAGATTTCATTTGAATACATTATTTTATTTAACAAAACCGCTGATTGTGATCTTAGGATGTGTTAACAGACACAGTGTCTAGTAAGGCAAACTGATATCCACATTCTGTCCTACCCTGATCAGACCTTTGTAGAGAACTGAATTTATTTCTGGGCACCACAGTTTACAATGGATATGGATAAACCAGAACTTGTTTGAGAAGAGCCACCAGCATGGTAAGAGGCCTCACAGCCTGAAATGCTGAAAATACTATGCATATTTACTGGACAAAGGAAGACTCAGGGAAAGGTGAGGGAAAACTAGTTGTATTA